ATATTAGTATCAGACAGACTATTTAAAAGTTTTTATTTTTTATATAATTTTTTTAATTCAATTTTTTATTATACTTTAATTTCGGTTTAATGACGAACTAATTTATTTTCAGTTAAATAATATAATTTTTATAAAAATAATAATTAAGTATTTTGTTAGATCTTAATGATTGTTCTGATTATATTTTAGATTTTTTATATTTAAAATGACATGTTTATCCTATATTTGATTATGTTTATCCATAGTTGGTTATACAAATTTAATCATTGAGCTTTAATAAGTTGTAGTTACGCATAATTTACTTATAACTTTATATTTTAAGTAATATGCATCAATAAACAATATTTGATGTATAAAAAATGATCTTTAAGAGTTTTTGTTAAATTCTTTATAATATAACTAGAAGGGTACTCGAACAATGCAGCGAGATAAATCTCGATTTTAGAGTTTAGTTTTTATTTTGTTTCTATCGATATAATATGAATTTATGTGGTTTTGAGAAAACAATAATGTTTTTATTTTTGAATGAAATATAAATTTAAAGATAATATAAAATTTTGAAAAAATAAATCAATATTAGTATCAAATTAACTATTTAAAAGTTCTCGTTTTTTGGTGTAAGTTCTTTAGTTCAATTTTTAATTACAAAGTAATTTAGATTTAATAACAAAGTAATTTATTTTTTGTTTAACAATATATTTTTTTATCAATATAATAATTAAAACATTATGTTAAAACTCAATGATTATCTTAATTATATTTTAGATTTTCTATATTTAAAATGAATGTTTATCTTGTATTTGATTATATTTATCTACAGTTAGTTATATAAATTTAAAATTATCACTTTAATAAGTTGTATTTACATAAAATTACTTGTAATCTTAAAATTTAAGTAATATACATTCAATATACAATACTTCATACATAAAAAATAGTTTTTAAGAATTTTTATCAAATGTTTTATAAAATAATATAAATATAAATAGGCGTATATATACTTTTATATGTTGATATACATATAGAGAGAGGGAAAGACGTCGAGGATTGGTTAATGAGGTGTTGAAATTATCACGTGTGATGTGTCATCATGGGAAACGTTATCCACCCAAAAATCATGGACTTCATCTTCAACAAACCATTAATCTCCAACTTATATATATATATATATATATATATATATATATATATATATATACATATACATGCATCCCATCTTTCTTCCCTTGGACCAAAATTGGTGATTTCGTGTTTATATCGTAGTAAATAAGGTACGCTCTACTTTCTTGCTTTTCTTTTAACATACAGCTTTTATCGATATGTTTTGACATACTATATCAGTTGTTTACATGGTAAGTGGTGGGGTTTATACCCTGACCGACAAATGATGCCGACCAAGATTCTGACTCAATAAGCAATGCGCTCTTACCTTATCAGTGTTTACCCTATCTGTATTGGTAAACGACGTCTAAAGTTTTGAAACCATATAGTGCAACAAAAAAGTTGTGGAGTTTCCTCGACAAGGTGTTAGACTCGGGTACAACCCACTCAAATACAACGCTGCCCACCATGCCTTAGAACACTGCAACTTATCTGATCGTGATGATCACGAAAGTTGAAACCATTATTGTGGAAGGCGCTCTCGAGGGTAGCACGAACCCTTTTCTCCACAACCATGTAGTTGTGGGTTCGAGTATCGCCACGCGTGCTATGTTTGTTTTTTATTTACTTTAAATTACTATTAGTTTTATGCAATGTTTTCAAGATTACAATTAAGAAAAGAAGCAAGTCATAGATGAGAAACAATTGTGCACCTTGTAAAGTTACATTTGCTCACCCCATGCAAACGCAAATGGGTTTGTTTGGCTGAGTTGAAGGCATTAGAACAACCTAATCCAATGTTGACGGTTTGAAAAATCTCAACCCAACCAAAACTGTACGGGTTGGATTGAGTTGGTCGGTTTGAAACTTCTGTACATCAGGTTGGGTTCAAATAACGCTAATCCAAATCCATCTCAACAAAAGCGGTTTGGTCTAATTTTGTATCAACTATATGTCAGGTTATCTCAGATTGAGTTTTTTTTGGAGATTTTTTGGGTTGGATTGGGTAGTAATTTGAGCCCCTCTAATGCACACAGGGTTGTTGCAGTGCTACTATCAAAGTTGAAGATGGAGACACCAACAAATATGACTATAAAGGGTATTCTTGGTATTTTAATGGCAAGTATTGATGAGGATAAGAAGAGAAGGTTAATATCATTAGGAATGGGTGACCCAACTGCATTTTCATGCTTTACCACTACAGATATAGCTCAAGATGCTGTGGTTCAAACTCTTCAATCCCGTAAATTCAATGGCTACTCTCCTACTGTTGGCCTCCCTCAAACAAGAAAGTATGTATCTACCCAACAATTTCTTATAATTTATTTATTGGTATACTAATTTTATTCTAACATGATGTCATCTAGACTTACTTTTTATATTTACAATATATGATTTAACCTGATTTTGACATAATCACGTCTGCATATAACTAATACCCTTACGGATAATTTTGGGTAGTGCTATATGCACCCCTAGAGTGCGTTTAGTATGTAGACTACATGGGACAAGAGGGGACAAAAAAAAATAGTCTCATGTTTGGCATGCCATGAACAAAAAAAGCGTAGGACAAAGTGAGACTATTTGTAATTTTCATGGGACAATTCATGACATTTTTTGTTCCACCAAAAAAGATGGAACAACATAGGACTAAATTTAAAATTACAATATTACCCTTGTTATTTCATTATATGATATAAAATAACATTGAACAACATTTAGGAGTAATATGGTCATTTTAACGGTTTTGTCATGTCTTGTCCTAGTCGTACCAAACATAGGACAAACAATTATTCCTGCCCCATCTCATCTAGTCTGTGTACCAAACACTATCTATGGATGTCAGAATTAAGTCAAATTCATGCAATAAAAATGTAATAAAAAAATTAGTCTTGATTTTGACGTGTGATAAGAAAATTAGTAGGTAGAAGTGCAATTAGCAACATATAAGAGTGCATTTAGCCCATCCTAATTTTCTGAGTCTGTTCAACCCTTTTAAGAGTTCATCTTTGACTTTTAATTTTGTATTTCAAGAAATAATATGTTGGAATATTAAAATGAAAAGTGGACTCTAGACATGTGACTTGAGAGAGTTCTAATGGCAAGTCAAAGCTCCAACATTTAATCTAATGTCCAACATGCTCTTAACAAGTTTATTGATTTAGAGCTAAGTTTTGTTCTTCCACTTTCATATTATCAGGGCAATATCTGAATATTTATCGACATCTCTACCATACAAACTATCCTCGGATGATGTATACATAACAGCAGGCTGCACACAGGCTATAGAAGTTGCTATATCGATCCTAGCTCGACCAAATGCAAACATCTTGGTTCCAAAACCTGGATTCCCAATTTACGAACTTTGTGCAGCTTTTAGAAACGTAGAAATCCGCCATTTTAATCTTCTTCCGGATAGAGGATGGGAGGTTGACTTGGATTCCGTTGATGCATTAATTGACCACAATACTGTTGGCATTGTAATCATAAACCCTGGGAATCCTTGTGGCAATGTCTATAGTTATCAACATCTAAAGAAGGTAATATCTATTCATACTTCTTATTCTAAATCTAATTGGCTAAAACTATATGTATATAGACACACTTATACTGATTTTGAGGTGGTTATTAGATTGCTGAAACTGCAAAAAGGCACAAGATTCTAATTGTAGCAGATGAAGTTTATGGGCATTTAGCTTTTGGAGACAACCCTTTTGTGCCAATGGGTGTTTTTGGGTCCATGGTTCCTGTTCTTACTCTTGGTTCATTGTCAAAAAGATGGATAGTACCCGGATGGAGGCTTGGGTGGTTTGTCACCAGTGATCCAAAAGGCATCTTCAAGAATACTAAGGTACTGAGCAATTAACCGAAAAAAGATCAATCATCACTTAGAATGAACTTTCTATGATCCTTAAACATCAACTAGAAATTGAATTCTGAAGTCTTTACTTTATTTGTTTTTGTCAGAACATTGAGCGCCTGAAGAAATACTTCGATATATGTGGTGGTCCAGCAACCTTCATACAGGTCCTACTTCCATAATTGTCTCTATATTTAATCGATATATATAAATAATATAGCAAAAATGGTTTGTGTAACCTACACATGGTGCAACTTAAACAGTCACCTAACTTCCATTTTCATAAGAATCCTAGAGTTGAAGAAGACTAAAAAGAGCAATTCAAAAAGCAAAAGATTCATAAAAAGCATGTTTGGTGTTTCAGGCAGCTGTTCCCTGCATCCTTGAGAACACAGAAGAGGTGTTCTTCACAAGAACTCTTGGCATACTGAAGCAGAGCTCAGACCTTTGCTTCAAGAAAATTAAAGAGATACCTTGTTTAACTTGCCCACAAAAACCACAGGGAGCTATGTCTGTTATGGTTAGAATTTGGCTGCTTATGATTCAAATTCAATGGTACATCAATTCAAGTGTTTCTGAGCTCACTTCTTTCTTGTTTGTTCTGTGCTGGTTTATGTAGGTGAAACTGAATGTGTCCTTACTAAAAGATATTAGTGATGATGTTGAGTTCTGTTTCAAGCTAGCCAAAGAAGAATCAGTGATCCTTCTTCCAGGTGATAAGCACACAGACTATAACTCTTTCATGATGCATTAAAGATTTGTACAATGCGCTTAAATATGTATATGCTTTTGGGTTTTGCAGGACTTACTGTGGGTCTTAAAAATTGGGTTCGTATAACTTTTGCTGCAGAACCATCTTCTCTCGAAGAAGCTCTTGACAGAGTCAAGTCCTTTTCCGAAAGACATTCCCATCAACAGAAGGTTCATATTGAACTATCATAATTAAAGAAATACATCTTTCTTTACGGTATAGCAAGCAAATGTAACTAGAAAACATATTATCCTATTAATTACATGACAGTAAGTGTCCTTGGTTTCTAAATGTGTTTTTTAATGCACACAAAAGGTATAAAAGATTGACCCATGACATGTTTATGAATAGTGATTTTGCTAAAAGATCTTTTTATAAATCTTATTGTTTTTACCATTGCTTGGCATGCTCAATTATTGATCTTTAACCCAGAAATATCAGAACATAAATTAACAGAACAATGACGGTCAAATAGTCATATGATATATAAACAGAACAGCCAAAACATTCCCCCAATCAAAATCCACCGCCATAATATATGTTTCATGATAAAGCAGAGAGACCCGTGTTGCTATTCTGATCCAAAGGCGTATTATATCAGGCCAAATTAGAGCATAATTAAACATAAGGCAACATCATCTCTCAGGTTACCTACTCTGCAACTTTTACCAGCTCATACTCCACAAGAGACAGATTGTTGTCATCTTTAACTTCAAATGTGACAGGTTCGGTTACCTCAATACGGCCCCATCTGTCAACTGCAAGCCTCATAGAGCCCTTGAACATATCGATCTTTCCATTTCGGATTATGACACAAGTACCAGGTTTCATAAGATCAACTGTGGAAAAAGAATGAGCAAGAGTATTAGACATAGTTTCTTTTTAGTTTCTTATTGCCATATGTTTTTATCTAATAACTTTATAACAAAATGCTGAAAGACCATTAAATTCCAACTTAGGAGTTAAAAACGGTTCATTTGACCCTGAAAAGTCAAACATGGACTACTTTTTGTTCACAGTTTGTGGTAGCACCAACAATGAAACACATCAAAACCACAGTTTATGTTTGTGCCGTGGAAGCAGATCTGCAAACCATGGTGTATGATGAAATCATGCCTAGGGTTTACAAAAGTTAGATTTCTCATACAGAACAACAGAAACTTAAACGAACACAATTATGAAGTAACACTACACACATATGATCATTCTAGGGTTTAAAAAACAATTATAAAACTTAACAATAATAAAAACACGATTCGAGATTACCTTGATCGTTGCGAGCAGTGAAGAGAATAGTGCCGGTTTCATCACCGACGAGACATTCAGAAATGCGAACATTACGAAGATTAGGAGACGCAGCACGTCCTTTCTGCAATACGATTTCGGAGCTGAGAACCTTAACAACGAGCGTCAGACCAGTAGTTCCAGGTTTGAGGTTATCGACCTTAGTAAAAACCGGCTTCCGAAGGCCAGGTTTGGCCGGAGAAGACGATCCTTGAGGCTGTGAGTTGTTGGAAGCCATGGAAATAGGTATGGATGTGCGAATTGATTGAAAGATGGAATGTGTTTTGAGAATTTGATCGTTCCTGTTTCCTCCTGGTGTCTGTGCTCTGCATACTTGATGAAGCTTTACGCAAATACCATTTCGGGAACCTCTCCATTGTCCGACTCGTTTCGTCTTCCAGTGCTGTATTTGGATACATGGGCCTTTCAGCCCATCACCGTAACCCGACATTTGTGGCCCGAGGTGGAGATATTTATTTACTTTGTTTGACAGTTGTTGAATGATTTGGTATATAATTATCAAGAGAATCTTATAATATAATTATTTGTTAATTATTCAGAATGAAATTAGGATAATGAATGGTTAAGGAAGACCCAAGATACAAAGTCATTCAGATAGTTTTATAACCATTAAGAGACATACTTTTTTTACAAAACAAGATTCAGCTCTTAACAATTTAGAGGTTGTCTCTTAATAAAACTATTAAGAGGTAAACAAACAATCCATAAAGACATGGTGTTTGTTTAGTATATTTGGTAAGACAAAACTTGACTAGTAAAACATAAAGACGTATTTGATGTTTTAGGTATATTATTTGGATAGGTGCTGGAACATGTTTGTTCCCTTATTTTTGTTTGTTCTATATAAAAGTCATGTCAAATGTTAAACATCTGTTTTGTTCTGTCATGTTCAGTGAGCCAAACGCACCATGATGGGATGTATAGATCGACAAACGAGTAAGGTCCGAAACAGCATGAGTCATGTGTGACAGTGAATTTTAGAGGTCACAACGTTTTTTGAAGCGTGTCTATGGGGAAAGTGTTTGGTAAACGACCCGTTAATAAAACTTTACTTCAACATCAATTTAAGTTGTACTTTAAAATAGAGAAAAAAAAAGAGATCGTATGGAAGTCAGACTAAATTTAAAAGAAAACGATAAAAGGTTATAACATATTTGTTTAAGAGCTTAAGGTGTTTGACATAAATAAGTTAGCTTATTTTCTGGATACACGTTTGGATGCCCATAAGTTAACTTATTGAAACGTCATTTGGAGTAGCATTTTGTTAGCTTATTGTTACTTTTTTCAATTATAACTGTCATAAAATATTTATTATTATTTATTACTATTAATTATAAATAAATAGTAATAAAATTTAAATACCACTAATATTAATTATTAATTAATATGAATTGGAAATTAATTATTAATTATACATTACATCATACATAATATTATTTACTAATTACTAGAATAGTACTCACACAATGCAGCGAGACACATCTCGATTTTTATGTTCTATTTTATTATTTGTCTATGTCGATGTTATGATACGATTTTATGTGTTTTTAAGAAAACAATAATATTAATATCAAATCAACTATTTAAAAGTTCTCATTTTTATGTAATTTATTTAATTTATTTTTTTATTATAATTTAATTTAAGTTTAATAACTAAATAATTTATTTTTTGTTTAATAATATAACATTTTATAAAGATAATAATTAAGTATTCTGTTAGAACGTAATGATTATCCTAATTATATTTTAGATATTTTATATTTAAAATGAGATGTTTATCATGTATTTGATTATGTTTATCCGCAGTTAGTTACACGAATTCATATATGGAGCTTTAATAAGTTGTACTTACGCGCAATCTACTTGCAATCTCGAATTTTAAGTAATATGCATTAATAAACAGTATTTTACGCATAAAAAATAGTTTTTAAGAGTTTTTGTCAAATGCTTTATAATATAGTAAGTATATATTATGTGTTTTTTAAAAAACAATAATGATTTTATTTTTGAATAAAATATAAATTTAAAAAAAATATCAATGTTAATATCAAATCAATTATTTAAAAGTTTTCATTTTTATGTAATTTCTTCAATTTATTTTTTTATTATAATTTAATTTTAATTTAACAATAAAATAATTTATTTTTGGTTTAATATTATAAATTTTATAAAAATAATAATTAAGTATTTTGTTAGAATTCAATGATTATCCTAATTATATTTTATATTTTTTATATTCAAAATGAGATGTTTATCATGTATTTGATTATGTTTATATGCAGTTAGTTACACGAACTTAAATATGAAGCTTTAATAAGTTGTACATACGCACAATCTACTTGCAATCTTGAGTAGTAATATGCATTAATAAACAGTACCTTATGCATAAAAAGTGACTTTTAAGAGTTTTTGTCAAATGTTTTATAATATAGTATAGATATAGATTTACAATGATTATTAGTCATATCAATTACTTTTATATTATTAGTATTTTTAATTACTATTAAGTATATCAATTACTTTCATATTTTATGACAATACAAAAAATGTAATAAGCTGATAAGTATTTCTTTTTTTCTCCATCCGAATACTAAAAACTGCTTATTATTGGTACATACTGTAAATAAGTTAATAAGTTAGAAGATGGTAACTTATCAAAAACTTTTTATGATCGGTGTCAAACCGGTATAAAAACATTTTTTTTCATCCAAACACTAAAAATATTTTATTATTAGTATGACACCAAAATAAGTTTGTAGTATTCTATGCATTAGGATTTGTTTTTAAGACTTTGTGTATTAAAAGGTAGTATCTTATACATCTAATATTGTTTTTAAGAATTTTATAAAATCTTATTTATAAGGTAGATGAAACCGAAATAAGTTAATAAACCAAATCGAAAGGGTGGGAAATTTCTACACAACGGTCTCGTCCTTCTCATAAACGCGATCTTCATTTTGAAGTCAACGCCGGAAACCGCCACCAGAAACGGTTAAAAACAACTTCAAACACCGTAAAGAGCGCTCCTCCTTCAGAACCAAAAATGGAGTTTCGGTAGAGTTTCGTGGAAGACAAAAATTCAATTAATCATGCAACAAATTCACATCCGATCAATTAAACATGACTTGCAGACCATTGGCATTCTTGCTTAGCTTGCCGTTCGCTTTGCTTGCCTCAGTCTTATCCATCATCGGTGCTGTCGTCTATGTTCTAGGGTACGTTCGTAACCATTACTCACTCCCTACCAAAATTGATGTCATTACGTTCTAGATCTTACTGCTTGACTACATTTTTGCGCAATTTCTAGTGATTATTCGTCTGATTACCTCCTCTGTGGCTTGCAATCACAATTACTTGTTAAGTTGTTAATGATTGGATTAATTGCCGATAATTTTTTAGGTTTCTTCAATGGTCGATGATTTTTTCGTAATTCATTGTTCGAGTTTGAAATTTATCTATTTCTTAAGCATATCCACTAAGATAATACTATGATTTGGGGCAGGCCATGGATCTGAAAGGAATCAAAATGTTTGTTAGCGTTTCATGTGCTTTGATTTGATGCTAGGGTTACCTGGTGCATGTTTTTGTGGCATCAGATTCATCAATATCATATTCTATTCAATTAGAATGACAGCAAACTATCGCTCAAAGCTGTCACAAATATCTCCTTTCTTCTAAACAGCTTGCAGATTAGAGATAGAAAATAAAATCAGGTTTATACAACGGTAAAAATGTCCAAGTTTTCTAATAGACTACTTTATACGACTTAAGTTTATATGATGAATTTAAACACTAGTGTGTCATATCTAAAAGTGTTGGTAACAAGTTTGGAGAACGTTTTTGAACGTTGTAATAAGTTGTTTACGATAGTTTTGAAACAAAAGGTTTTATTAGCCCTTCAATCGGACACTATTTGAAAAGTGTCTTATAAAACACTTGTTCTATAAAAAGATGTGTTTATAGGACGCTTTGTTTCAAAAGTGTTCTAAATTTTTTGTTAAAAAACACTCAAAAGTGTGCTATAAACTTATTACAACATTTTTTTAGATAACATACACAAGTGTTTGGTCCTATAAAGTAGTATATTAGTATATTAGGGCGCTTAAACATTTTTGGAGTCCTATAAACCTGATTTTGTTGTAGTGTGTGTCACAAATATGTAATCAAATGGTTTTATGACGCCCATTCATCGGAATAATCATGTCTGACCCTCTGTTGAAGTCTCACCAGATAGATAAAAACCATTATGACTAGTCCTGTATATATGCAGGAATTTCCCCATTGTTTATAAGGGCTCTTTTGCCATTGAGGGTTAAAGTGATTTCACTTTTCCTAATATTCTCCATACTATAACAAAATTGGTTTTATAGGATTTAAGTTTATAGGACAAAACCAAAAGGTGTCTTATTTATAAGTGTTATAATAGGTTTATATGACACTTTTAGGCATTTTGACAAGTTTGTTAGGACGTTCTTTAAAATAAATTGTTGTATTAGCTATTTTATATGACACTATTTGAAAAAGTATCTTATAAACACAAGTGTCCTATAAAAAGATGAGTTTATAGGACACTTCTCAAAAGTATCCTATAGGAATAGCTAACAAGACACTTTATTTTAATAACATCATAAAAAACTTGTTAAAACACCTAAAACGTTTTATAAACTTATTACAAACACTTTTAGATAAGACAGTCTATAGTTTGGTCCTATAAACTTATGTTTTATAAAATATGCTATTAAGACACTTAGATATTCTGGCGTCCTTTGAATCCAATTGGTTGTAGTGCCATCATCAATATCACTAAATTTCTTCTTTTATGTTTCAAAACTTGGTTTGATTTTGTTGTGCATGGTCAATATTCATATGTGAATGCAGGATTGTGTTGACCTGCATAAGCCCTTGCTGCATTTGTTGTGTTGTAGTTGCAAATGTTGCAGCAAGTCTTGTGAAGCTTCCTGTAGATGTAGTCCTATGGTTTATCAATTTCATACCTTGTTGAGCATGCATCATTAATCAACTTAGGATCTTTTCTTTTCTTCGTTTTGTTTCACAAAAATAGATTACATTAATTTGATTGCAATAGCAATTAGCAGACTTTCGATGTACTTATTGCAAACGACACAATTCTATTGAATGTTTTGTCTAATAGTAGTTTGCTATTTAGTTTTTCTTTGACATACTTTTTAAGAATGGATGCAGTACAACTATGCTAACATGGTTAGATGTGGTGAAACCTGCATAAGTTTAAAGAAAGTTTTACTTTACATAAGAGCTGTTTGTCAAACGCTTACTGGATAAGCATTTACCGACAAGAGCCACCACCTTCACTTACCTTACAAGGTAACATTCTCATCTATCAAAATGGATTGTGGATAAGAGACAGTAAGCGTTAATCCGGTAAGAGTCTTCTCCCTCACTTACCGGTTATGATTTTCGGTCCTTGTTATGTCTCTTCCTGGGTAAGGCTGTTTACTTATAGCTTAATAAGCTTAATAGTCTGGACGGCTTAATAGCTCAGCATAAATGAGTGTTTCTTTATGGCTAAATCGTTAAGCCATTAAGCCAAAATGGCTATATGGAATAAGTCAGGACCCGTCACTTGCCCCGTTAAGCCACCTCAAACAAATCATAAATGATCCAACCCTCTCTTTTTGCCTCCCTCAAACCCATCGTTCTCTCGTCTCTCAATCATATGTACTTATCTTATTTGGACAAATAACTTAATCCATTCACAACTTAACGGGAAAAAAAAAACTAAACAACCCCCAATTGGTCCATGCTCATCTTGTAAGGTACGTGACAACCGGTAAGTGCTTATTCGATAAGCGCTTACCCGGTAAACGACTAGCGTTTTATTTTTCTAAAATGGACGAAAAACATACATTCAAAAATTTGAAATGACTCAAACTCACAACCTAAAAGTTGTAGAGTCCCATTTGGTACAATTCAACCAAAGACCTCTTGTTAAATATGTGATGGTTCAGTTGCATTGTGTGGGGATACTACTTTTTCTCAATTATGTGCAACTTTTCATGATATTGCATCTTGTAATGTTGGTAAACAAATAGATGAATCTGGATTGAAATATGTACTTTTATTGAGAAGAAGGTACTAAATAAACCATAAATGGGCATTATCTGAATTAAATATTCATGGTTAATTGTTTATTTTTATTTTGGAGATGCATGAACAAGGATATGATATTAGCTAAGCATGGGGGACCCTGAACACCTTTTCTTTAGTTCATCATACAATATGATAGATATTAGTTCCTAGTGACTTCCTACAAATATTATTGTTTTCATCATAATTTATCTTTTAGATTAATATGATATATGTATACAACATAGAGAAAGGGAGAAGATCAAATGAGAAAGCAGTCAATTTACGAGAAGACGAAAAGTTTCAAGATCACATGTAATACAAAACACGAAATCACATGTGATAAGAACACGGTGGGTTGGCCGGTTGTAGAGCAAGATACCATTTCCGGCAACCCTTGATCGCTGCTCGTCGGTTTATTCAACCTTAGATTCCAACACAAAAATAGAACTCGGCGCAAGTATACACCTTGAACTACTGTCGTCTCGTAACAAGTAATAATGGTAAAAAGTACCAGATTTATCGTTCCCACAGAKATAGYTTGTAAAGTTAWTTCAAAAARTCCAGTTTATAAAAACTAATTTCAGAAGGCGAAACGAGAGATTTGATTTATCTAAAATGGGGTGGTTTGATTATTAACTAAGAAAAATATCAATCTTAAAAAGAAGCACAGGGTGCAACAGTTGATTAAGACTTTTAAACAAATGATTCAGTAAAAAGGTGACATAGCATTCCTGTCATAATTATCTAAAATCAAGAAATGATTTTATATTACTATGACAGTATCAACTATCGGGTCAGACGGCCTCCCAAG